GGACAGTCCCAGTCTTTGTGGTGCTGATGCTTTTTGTATGGCAGACGTACAATATGTTTGTCAACCATTTTGATTTAAAGTGTAGTCGATTAATTTTCTTTGAATTCAATCTGCAGCATGATAGTGAAGGACTAGTTAGGATCATTGTATCGTCAAATGCAGCGGGACGTCGCGTGATATTTTGAGCATTCCACACTGTTTCAAATGCCTCTGCAGTGTCTATGTACCTTTTCGTTTTGCGATGTGAAGCCTCATTCACGCGCCAACCATACATCGTGAGTAGTTCTCGCTATTTCACTGTCTCTGCAGTGTCTGTGTATCTGTCGAACTGCGATGTGAAACCCCGTTCAGTGCGGTAAGCTGTGCACAGAGCGGTATTTTAAACAACTTCAAACTCACTGTATATCTTGTTTCCCACATACCAGAATGACGATAGTTTGATGCACTTCTGCTGGCAAGATCGCAAGAATAATAAGTGCGATGAGGTGAGTTTGTGTGTCCGATGGCGCACCTCCTCGCCTTTGTTTTGTTATTGGAGCTGGATTGATTGGCTAAGTTGTATTTAGATCATTAATTCGTCGTGATGTTCTTCGTTCAAGCACGTGTGTGTGTTTGATTGAGGCTCTGATTCAACTCGTGTAACACGGGTATTTAACTTTAAATCTTTCTCTCGACTTGTGCGCATAGGATTCAGACCTGATTGTATTCCCCGAAGAAGCCGTATTCTCCAAAGTGAAGCAGACTGAGCAACGAATCTTCATGCTGACGTTCAAAACATCTAACAAACGAATGTTCTTTTGGATGCAACAGGTGAGAGTCATAGAATGCTGAACTGAATATGGCACCATTTCAACGTCTCATTCCCCAGTTTTGTGTGTACACATTTTGTGCCTGGTACTTATGCCACCCCGTGCTGCTCAGCTGATGTGGAGACTTCAGAACACAGTCACCATTCATCAGCAAGTGCCAAATGGACCCAGTGTATCAGCTCGTGACATGTACAAGCACGCGATGCACCTGCTTATCACATTTTCTGGCTGTGCTATAACGTAAACGCAATCACATTCGCCAAGACCATACACCGTACTTTATAGTATAGTGGGGAATTGTAAGCTGCACTGTATCGCGGTGGTGGGTGGTGTTTGCTCGTCTAGCCTATTGACCTACGACTGCTATCTATCACCTATACTAGGATAAAGGGCTTTATCTCGTGGTGAGCATGCAAAGTACACTTTGTGGGCTTTACGGATTTTAATATTCGAATTGTTTGAAGCCTCATACATATTCATCGGTCATCTCCCAACGTTTGGCTCGTTGATTGGCTCCGTACCACAATTCTTCCATTGTTGATGTTACGGTGGTGCATGGTCATCGTGATAAAATATCAGTCCAGTTCACATGTGAAAAGGTGGATAACCGATGACTATGTTCTCATTTGCTTCTCCTTTTTAATCTGCTTCTTGAACAATCACCTTTCTAGGCGGACGATACCGAAGATGATCTACTGGTGAAGAAGGTCAATTTCCTTCTGAATAACCCCCCACTCCCTGATGCAGGTATGGAGCTAGCGTGTTGTATAATGTAAGATTGGGCAAGTGTGCTTGCTGGCACTTTGGGGACTATTCCTTTTTGGGATGTAAGATATCAAACTGCGATTGTGTGTACACGATGCTCAATCAGCCCACATTCTCCCTGCACACAAGCCTTTCTAGCACTGTCTGTTAGAATGTGTATGGCTTAGCAGAAACAATACCATCGGTGTGTAGTCGTATCTACTGCATACCGTGCCGCACTCTCTTGACTATTCGTCTTTTTTTTGGTAGGGGGGAGGTGAAAAAAAAGTGACAATGAGGTGCACCTGATCTTCAACGAGCGTGTACCCATCTCCCAATTACAAACAGCCACAGTTACCAACTTCATATTCATCTTTTATTACAAGAATTGTCGTGTTAACTAGCGCTTGATGTGAATCCCACACATTGTACAATTTCATAGTAACATACCAATATGCTCCAAAACGGGTTATAAACAGGGTAAATTCTACTCAAACTGGTTAACAGCCGAGTTCCGTAGCTCTTTGTGTGGCACTTTATTTAGCACTGAAGCATACAATCGTTCCCCATACAGACCCCGAAACCATCTTTGACTCTCTCAACGAAACTGAAGAGGCGCCAGCCGAAGAGACTACGCCAGCCACAGACGCTTCAGAAGACACTGAAATGGCCGAGGCCTCCACACCACCCGCTAACGTAGACAGGGAAACATCGTAAGCACAGACACTATTAGTTACTGCACTTCACCCGTGTATGCAGGGATAACGATGGAATAAAGTGCAGGCTGTTTCAACGGGTACATTGTTCGATGCCTCAGTTTACTGGCAGATGTGTTCTTTAATTGTGTACGTGTACAAGGCCCTACTTCAGCACACCTATTGTTCTACACTGTTCCTTCGCGCCCCACAGTGCTGCCACGGTCGATGCTGCTACTACTGACCAGATGGCGGCCTTCTCAGCGCTACTTTCTTCCATAAAACTCCCCGGTGAGTGTGCCTCCCTGCCTTATTGTACGTACCTTACAATGTTTGTTGCTGGGCCAGTATAAAGCTTAATATTTATACTCAGGAACTCAATGGGTCGAGCGTTGATCTCTCATCAGATAGTGTTTGTTTTGCTCGCTCTCATTGCACATCTTGTTCGTGATCAAGTAGTTGCCATGACATGCTACATTAAACCTGGTATATATCATTATCATCTTCTCATGTATACACGGTACCTTAGCCGTTGTTGACACCAGGTGTTCTTTATTATCTTAATTTTTGTCTTCAACTTTATACTCGCTTGACTTTGTTTATCAAGTCCAATGTGCTTGCTACCTGAAGTCTTTGCTGTCCGCGCAACGATAGCTGCTGCTTTTGGTGCCGACAAGACGTATCTCTGCATTCAATTCGTGTATATTCTTATCACGTATTCGATATTGTAAACGTCCCATTGCGCTCACTCGATCTTGTACTCTTACCACGACTGTTTATATCACAGATACCACAAACCTCACTGACACGTTGACTCTAGAAGCCATGGAGAACCTCTTTAGAGATGATTCTGCATTAGAAACGCTCAAGCCCTCCTTACCCGAGCCCCACACACCGGAAAATATGCACGCCGTCATCCGTAGCCCTCAATTTGTCCAGGTTAGTACTTTAGTCGATGCTTGTAGGTGTGCTTCTAGTGTACTTGTTGTGTTGTATGAAAGTAAGTACTCACTTCATTGGCATGGGCAATGGGCAAAGTTATCGCGCTTGGGCCTCACAAACAGTATGTACACATTCCCCTCACTTCACTGATCGAAAATTTGTGCGTGACAGAAACCTGTTAAGCTATGGTACAACCGTGAGGACTGTCCAAAGTCTGGGCACAATGGAACGCGCAGATTAGGTAGATATTGTCATAGTCACGTCCGTAGAGACTACTTTGTTTGGTATCCGGCTGTACCCTCAACAAGTGCTGTGAGAGTGCATACGTATATGTTAGGCTGCCATGATATAATTGCTATTCGTCAACTTAATGCATTCCAAAATCCATCCTTCATTCGCAGGCCTTGAATGCCTTCAATGCTGCCCTGAAATCTGGTGACTTGCCTCTAGAGTCTGTTGGCGTATCGGGGGTAGAAGTCCAAGGAAGGACAGGTGTGTAGTCTAAGATGTTGTAGATGTATATGGTGATAAATACACACACACACACACACACACACACACACACACACACACACACACACACACACACACATATATATATATATATATCTATCTATCTATATATATATAGTATATATATATAATATATATATATATATATATATATATATATATATATATTATATGGTGGTGGTCCAAGTGATTTGTCTGGTGATTTGTGTGGCTATTGAACGGTAAAGGACCTAGCGAGCCTCTGCTGTAAGACTCGCATCATCCTGCGAACTGAGTAGAAGGCCAAGTTTGTTGACATTTTTCAGCGCTGATACTCTGGCCTGAGCTTTTCGATGTTGCAGACGACAATCAAGCAACCTTTCTTCAGTTTCATATGCATCAAATCAAACTGTACACTTGGTTACAATTCTTTTTTAAGTAGGTGTGCTCAGCCATCGTAAGTGCTGTTTGCGTAGCTAGTTTAGTTCCATGTAAAAACTCGCTGGCTTTATACCGGGACACGGTGGTCCGCGGCTACCGTTCTCCATACTAGCAAATTTAATTCAAAGTTTACACATCTTGCATGTTTTGCATGCGTTTCGTACGTCGTGAAGTAATCTCAAATTGCCACTTCTCACTCGCCATGTTTCTTGTATAACTGTTCAGTCGCGCTATTGGCCTGCAATGTACTCATGACAGTGTATGGCTCGACCGTCATGTTCGCAATGCGCTTGTGTCACATGCAATCGATACAATTGCTGTAGCAGTAGGTATTTAGTAGTCTTCTTTTTTACACTTCGTATTTAATCGGATTTCCGACGGCTGTACGCAGGTGTGGACGCCTTTCTATCCGCGCTTCAAGCAGAGGAAGACAATAAGAAGAAATCTGCCAGCGAGAAACAGAGTGACCATTTGGAAACAGAATGAGACACTATCCGAAGGGATGCAATACATGTGAAACACTGTACCAATGATCTATGATGAATGACATGGGTGCACGACAGTTGCCGTCTGTTTCGTGTATAATTTTTGCATTGTTTCTCAAAAACACACGTTAGTCTTGAAATTGACGTATTATTTTGTATTCAGATATAATCTACTAGCACATCGCCAGTTTAATGAATAAGAGCAATTCGCACATTCCGAAGCTTTAGGCTTTCTATACAGGGAATCGAGTTGTATTTTACTTTATACCTCATTTATTTATAAACCTTTCTCAATCTGACTCGGGCCTTGATATGCCTCGCTCCTCATGACCCCGGACCAGACAGTTTGATCAGTCGGATGATCACGTCGACCAAATTCAGCACTATCTATCAATATATTTTATATTTTTTAGACGTCTCGATGCCTGGCGTGAAGTCGCTGAGTCGGTACGGGTCCGGCCCGTTCCTTTCCATTTACGTTCTTTTCCCTACTAAGTCTTTAAAGAGTGTCTTATTGAGCTTCGCTTAAATCTGAAATCTGTGTGAAATTCGCCAAAAATCGACCTTTCACGAGCTTGCTTATAAGTGGTGTACTATCATCGGGCCCTGTTTCGTCTCCTCGCTGTGGAACACATGCCATCGGGTCGCAATTTGAAAGTGTCGTAACGGTGGCAAAGGACTCGGGGTTCGGAATTGTGCGCCTTCTCTCAATCGATGGCTCAGTTAGACTGATCCAAGTCGTTCCGCACTCGTGAACGACCGCCGCATATCCCCGCTCTTGAAACCAACTCTGGAATATGGTGTGTCCTCAGCCATATACCAACATAGTGTTTCCAGTGTTCTATCGCTTGCTTTCAAATCAAAACCGAGAAGACAAAGAACATCTCGTTGTACTGCGTTGAGGTACTCGAGATCCACTCCAGCAATATTGGCCCATTCTGAATTATGCATTGTGTTCACTTCTTGTACAAATTTAGACGCGACTAGCATACAGGCGGTGATCAAGCAACGCGCACAGGTACGTGTATCTAACATAAAAGAATTCTCATCCACACTTTTTGCCACAGAATGTAATTCAATCAAGCCTGCTGTTTGTTCTAGATCAGTTCTTTATATGAGGTGTTGACAGAATTGTAAGAGAGCTATCGGACGCTCGTAATCGAAGGGCGCAGAACAATTGTTATCATTGGGCCTATGGCAAGACACGATAAAACATGATAGTGGGGAAAGTTCAACCTTTTTAGGGTCGAATATCAATCGTCCTTGTTGCGATTCATGTGCAGTTATGTATATCATCATTTTCTAATAATGTTTATCAGTATGAATACACACACACACACACACATATATATA